CTCTCTCTCTCTCTCTCTCTCTCTCTCTCTCTCTCTCTCTCTCTCTCTCTCTCTCTCTCTCTGCGTCTCTCTCTCTCTCTCTCTCTCTCTCTCTCTCTCTCTGTGTGTGTGTCCTAATGATCAAAACGTTCGCTTGGCACACCGAAGACCCAGGTTAGATTCGTGACATTGGTACTATGTGTGAAGCGCATTTCTGGAGACCACCCCGACGTAATGTTGAATGAATAATGCTAAAGCGGCGTAAAACCACACTCACCAGCTCAGTTACGCAGACATGGCCTGACTGATGTGTACACACGTGGTACAGGTGTTGATTACCTGGCGACTGTCATCAGAGATCCTCACGCCATATCTTTCCAAAGGATCATTCATAGCAAAACTATGTCTCCAAATATTTTAGCTACAAGAATTACAAGAACAGAGACCAAGGAGATAGTATTTTTTTATGATAATAAAACAGAGTAATAAAAATAATATATGTTTGATTGCTTAACATTAACAATAGTTTCATTAAGTGTGTAATTCTCAAGCGCGCACACATACTCTCGTACACTTCTATAGTGTTAACACACGCTCCATTTTTTGTTTAGCGGGAATTCGTTTATATATTTAAGAATGTTGTACATTTTTATATCCTTTTACTGACATTTTTCAGTTTGTATTTTAGATTATCTCCTACAGTGTCTAATAATTCTGTAAAGAATGGCTGGGGTCCTCTCACTATTGTTACACTCACATCATATGTAAACTCTTCAAAAAAAAGAGAAACGCACAGGCCATAAACAAGGATATGTAATAAACGTATTTAAGTGTATATAAGTTGATTAAGCTTGAAAATAGATGAAGGAAATTCGACACATGTGTATTGGTGTTATTGTCAGCATTAATTCAGTTCACTCACTGCACAAATGTGGACACAAGGGGGCGTTCAGGTCAGTACCCGGTGACACCACCCCTTGAAGCCGTCACTGCTCGACACCGCTTGGAAGGGATTGCACAAGTTGTCAGATTTTTGCTTGGGGAAATCTCCGCCAGGATTTGGTCGATGTATCGATTTGCTGTAAGATTGCCTTGAACCACCACTAGCTCTGATCTACCCGTTTCAGGACATGTCACCCCAAGCCATGACGCTATCTCTACCAAATCTGTCCACCTGTCCAAACGCAGTTCAGCTCAAAACGTTCATGTTGACGTCGATAGACACGTTGTCTCCCCATCCCGTCTTGGCAGGAGGAAACGCGTTTCATCGCTGAACCAAACGCGTCGCCAGTTCCCCAGGCCCCATGCCTGTACCCCGTTGATGATGTTCGAGATGCTCGAATTCCCACTTTTCTCAGACGATTTCTGATGGTTTGGTCGGAAATTCTTCGAAGACCTGTCCTGCAGTGTCTGTTGCTGTAGCAAATCGGTGACGTAGGTGAAACACCCGGATGAATCGGTCCTGAGCAGGAGTGGTCACTCTTGGTTTTCCACTTCTGTGACAATCTTGGGTAGAACTGAAGCCGGTATATCGATGCCATAGTCGAGATATGGTGCCGTGGTGGGCCACAGTAGACTGGTACTCCCCTGCTCCCAAATGTCAAATGGCGATGTGTCGGTCAGTAGCAGTCAATTTTGGCATTTTTTTTTTCAAATCTTCGTTTACGTCGTAAATTTTGGCCTTTTACAGTAAGTTGATGTCTCCACTCGTGTTTAAGGCACAATGCACCTAGAAAACGTTTTTCTGCATGCACTTTTCATGCATCGTTTTCATTGTGTATGACAAACGTTAACAGACACATTTTGGGATGCGTAGGTGCGCAGCACACACAACAACCACGACATGATTAACGGGAATCAAACATGGGAATTGCCATAAAATGAAATGAACTGCTGAAAACGCCTGAACGTTTCTTGTTTTGAAGAGTATATTTTGTACCCTTGGTGAGACTTAAATATACTGTCTGTCTGTCAGTGTGACCAAACCATTATTAAATGCGTACAAGATTAGATTAAGGAAATTTGCATATCGATGGGAGGGTTAGGAGGTGCTGTAGTTGGTAACCATTTCATAATCTGGTAATAAACTGAAGATGAAGAACATTTTTCGCACTGCTTGAGTTATAATTTTTCAACTCGCCCAGTCTTTCGAGCTTGTTGTAGGGGAGATAACTCTTCACTGCCTTCTGCTGAGGAAATCGAAAGTCTCACAGAGTAAGTGAGCATATTGTGCTCGTTGTCAATTGCAGTCAGCGCTGTTTCGGGTGTCTAACAATTACTTCACCTTGGTAGACAGGAAGCATGCATGAGAAAACAGGCATTCGGGTTTCTCTCAACAAGTTTCTCTCAAAATAAACTGTTGTATAATCGTCATATTGTTTCTCTAGAACCAAGGTTACGGAGAAATATACACCTATAATTCCTTATTGTATGCTAAATAGCTAAACCTACTGATTTATTTTATACAACATCTTTTTGTAAATCAATGTTTGGACAGTTAGGATGAAACGAAGGATTTACGATAGTATAGTGCGATTTCATCATGATTAAGTCACGGCCGCCATTTTAGCTCAGGTAACCCAGGATGTCATAACAACGTATGGTATGGATTTACAACTTCCTTAATATTTACAACACGACATTTCTGGGCTACTTGTTGACCCTTCATCAGGTGGATGAAGTTGTAAATCTATACCATACGTTGTCATGTTACCTTCCAGCTTCCATAGACCGCCTCCGTGGTGTAGTGGTTAGATCGTCCGCCCGGAAGGTCGCGGGTTCGATCCCCGACCACGTCATACCAAAAGACGTTAAAATATGGTACTTGTTGGTCCCTGCCTGGCGCTCGGCATTACTGGGTACAACAAGGACTGGTCTGCTCGGAGTCAGTATAATGTGTCTGAGTGGGGTATTCATGCTTCACTGCGGCATGGTATCTCAGTGGGTTAGCACTATAAAACCAGCTTAAGTCTGGGCTATTACAAGCAGCCGCACATACACATACACACGCATGCACGTCATCATATGAGCGAAATATTCTCAAGCACGACGTTAAACCCAATTTCACCTCACCTCACCTCACCTCCAACTTCTATATGCCCATCAAGCATCTACCCCATGGTGGTAGCGCATATATCAACATTACGGCGTTACAGTATATACCTTTATCGATGAATCAAGTACAGTCGGGTGTCGTGACGAAGTGTCCTGTTTTCGGACATCACGCGTGTCAGCCTGAATCAGCAGTCACGTGCTTCTTGTTTACTTCGTGAGTTGGGTTGTATGCACAGCCAGGCTCTCCGAATAGATGGTCTTAAAATGTATGCACGTTTGAAAACTGATACTGTCGTGGTCAAATTAAATATACAGGCGTCAAATCTCCATGTAATATACATCTGGGTTAACATCACATGTTGTCATGCACACCCTGAAACAAATAGGCCTACACCCGGTTCAGCTCGTGCAAACCTAGACAATGTGTGAGCCTGGATTCGTGAAATGAGTGAGTGAGTTGGGCTTTACGGCGCTTTTAGCAATATTCCAGCAATATCACGACGGGGGGACACCAGAAATGGACTTCATTCTTTGTGCCCATGTGGGAATCGAACCCGGATCTTCGGCGTGACAAGCAAACTACTGGGCTACCCCGATTCATGAAATGAAGAAAGGCTCTGGGTTCCCTTTTGTTATGTGTTATGAAGATAATTTATTACCTGCTTTTGTTCAAATGCTTTACGCTACAAAGTTCAGTAAAATACCATTGATTCGAACTTTGATAAGGGGGCGGTGGGGTAGCCCAGTGTTAAAGCGTTAGCTCGTCGTGCCGAAGACCCGGGTTCGATTCCCCACATACGTCCAATGTGTGAAGCCCATTTCTGGTGTCCCCCGCCATGATATTGCTGGAATATTGCTAAAAGCAGCGTAAAACAATACTCACTCAATCACTCAATCTCTCGAACGTTGATATGTCGAACTGACGCTTTCTCGAAATTAAGGCTTTATCCCTTCATATTTTTAATTGTAATTAACGGTAGTGTCGAGCCTCGGATAACTCGAACTATTTGCCCGCGTCCCTTCAGCTTCGACTCAACAGTTTTTGACTGTATTTTACACATCGTCCTCGCCACAATCTGAACTAATTTTGAGATAACGTAACATCAGAAATTCAACAGTTGAGTTCTCCCACTATCCATAGCGTGTTAACCATGTGATAAATGGATTATATAGTCGTCATACCCCATTTGTCAGACATCAGTGAGAGCTTAATACTCATAACAAATGAAGACTTCGTGTTTCATGGATGAAATGACCACAGAAATATTTTAACATTGTAATTTATTTCTACATCAAGTCACATTTTTTTCACGTTTATTTTGGTTCTCACATTGAATGTTTTAGTTAAAAGTTACTTTTCCTTTAAACATAGCATTTTCAATGATTTTAACAAAATCTGTAATATCGGTTACAATGATTATGCAAAAACAAATAAATGTATTACAGGTAAGTTTTACATATGCATGAAATATACATAGCAAATATTTACTATTACGATTATGGAAAATTAATAGATTAAATAACCCAATTCGTAATGACAGTACATGTATGTCAGTCAATATTGCCATTAAGGCATAATTATCTTGACATCGATCTAAATTTTGAAATTATTTTTAATTTTTTTAATAGCACTCTGTACAGTTTCCCCTCTTGATACAAAATGTTCAAAGGGGTAGCATTAATTTATTTTTTTATTTATATAACTTGTGAAGTCTTTCATTTCTGGAGAATTACACAGCACTTCATGTATAGATCTCCTACATTTCTAAACCTTCAGCCGATTCATCATGTTACATATATACACCATAAGTAAAACATAAATACGCACAATAATTGTTAGCTCTGTCTGTTATAATTTTATATCGGAAATCGGTAACCGCGTCTGTATATTAAAAAGTATATAAAGCCAAAGACAGACATACGCAGATGTGTGTTAGACCTTGACCTATTAGTCATCGTGAGTCTTCGGTAATATCCGGCGCAAGGGCGGGGTTAGCCGAAAGCGTCCGGGAGCTTACGGGATAGACTTGAAGGAATTTCAGTGGCATATTTCTGCAACTTGTCAGACCACGGTAAGTTGTCATTTAATAACCGCAGATATTTCGCATGTTACAACCTACCACAGCAGACAATAGTTAGTATTTGTGTGTTGAAAGGTTGGGCACTTCGTTAATGAAGTTGCGTTGTTGGAAAGAAAGGCCTGAACGCCGGTGGCCAATCATGCGTGCAACACCGCGTTTTGGACGCGATGGTGAATCTTGATTGACTGGTTTTGCCGGCCATTGAGATAAAGTTAAACCGAATTACATTTATTTAGAACTGATATTTGAATATGATACTTGTGGTACTATTTTCTAGGACTGTAACTCTGGGTATTCTCAGGTGTTACCGTGGTGTTCAAATCCGCTTTGTCGATGTGAAAATGCACGAGCTCTTCAGTCAGTCATCCATGACAGCTAACGAATGGGCTATTGAGTGCTTTAAGGTCGTGAACGTGTCGGACATGACGTTAATTTTGAAGAGATTTCCATTATATTAAATGGGTAGAATTACTAAATATTGTATGCATATATATTCACTCATAATTATTCATAAACTCATACAAATCATTGATATATCACAACAGTTCCCATCACATAAGATGTTTCAATATTCAAATAGATTATAGATTATTTTAGCTATCAAACGGAATCGTGAAAAACGAAATAAAGGTCCAGAAACGTTATTGACTATAAACATTATCTGCTTCATCCTTTTATTCAAGGTTTCTCAGGGTAGGTTACCCCACAATGTTTACCCCAAAATAGCCCTAGGGTATTTGATTAGAAATAATCTCAAGCAGTTACAGTCTAAGGTGCCTTCACACAATGTACAAACATTAAAATGTTGTTGTGATAATGGCTTTATGTTGTGTAAGCCACACTCATCCCAAAACATGATAAACAAACATGTTGAAGTAATGTGAGACAAATGCTATTAATAGCCTCTGTTGTTTTACCAATTTCACAAACTGTAAACAAGGAAATGAACTGTATGACTTCAGGGGTGATACTATGCTTATTCAGTGTGTATTCATTTGTTGGTGTTAGCCTTTGCAGAGGAACTCAGTGTGTGTTGACGACAATAGAAGTTAAATAATAGACCTTCTTGTTCACAGTGTGTGTTATTGTAAGTGCATGTCTGACCCGGAATGTGGACTTGATAATGTCATGATTGATGTTTTATACAGCTATTAAATGATCTCTATGATTTGAGAGTTTTATTATGGAGTCATTCCTTGCTCAAAGTTATGAAAACTGGGAAATATTAAAGGAACGTTTGAATTTTCCTCTGATCCTTTATTTTGTTTGAGGGTTTAGTTAGAGGGTTTGAATTTTCCTCTGATCCTGTATTTGTTTCTCTGAGTATATATTGCATGAATTGACACTATGTGTTAATGTTTATCATTTTTTGTGAGTTGTAAACAGTGCTATGCAAACTTACTCAGTGATGAGTTTTCACGTTTATACCTCCACAAAAGCAACAAAATATTGAAGTTAACATGAGGACACACATGATACATGAAAGGATATTATGAATACAAAGGTATTGGGGTAGACTAGTGGTTAAAGTGTTCGCTCATCATGTCAAGACCCTGGTTATTATTTTCTTCTTCTTATTATTATTATCCCATTTCTGGTATTCCCCGCCATGCTATTTCTTCAATATTGGTTAAAGTGACAGTTTAGGCCAGACCAATTTTATTTCTTGTTTTACGGATTTTTGTCCTCAGAAAACCTAAAGGCAGGAAGGTAAAAAAATAAAAATAAAATGACCAGTCAAAGTAATATTCCTTCTAAATGCTGAAAGTATTTTATATTGGCAATTTATGAAGTGTATACAATGGTATATGGGGCAAAAAACAATCTAAAAGAAGTTTTTCTTGTAAGTTTACATTTTTGGCCAATAAAAACATTAGGATTGCATTTTTTGAGCAGGGAAAATTAATTTATTATTTTTCTAATTCTTGAAAAAATACGACCGGCAGATCCGTAAAACAAGAAATAAAATTGGTATGGCCTTACCTAGACCTGCCTATATAAGGATAGAAATACTGTACACCCACAGCCTTATCTTTCAGTACAGCCTTGGAGCAAGGCTAAGGGTTTGGAAGAAGGCTAATTTCCATTCATTATGACAGAGATAAACATGATTAATTACTCACACCAGGGCTTGCTTAGCACTGAATGCTGACAGATTAGCAGCAGAGTGTTTGAGCTGCAAACAGACAGGGTGGCTGTGGACACAAAGGGTTATTGACTGGTAATGAGTGTGGGAGCATTGTCGGGGATATTGGTTATTACACAGTCACAAAGATTACAGTTTCTTTTTTTACTGTCTGAAGTTGTAGTTGAGTATACTGGGGTTGAAATATGTGTTGCCTCGTAATGATATGTTTTGTGCATAGATATGTCACATTCAGGCTTCATGGTAATGTGTAAACATTCTTTGATTATAATACACAAAGTCCGCAGTCTAGACTACCAGTTGTCCGACTTACATTTTTGTGGAAGCCGCGGTGGCTGAGCGGTCTAGGTGTCTGACTTTGTGTGCTGGCGATTAGCATGATTAGGTGCCGGACTCTGAGGGTGCGGGTTCGAATCCTGGATGGGACTCAACCCAACAAAAGTACTAGAATCTGTACTTTACTAAGAAAGTGTAATCCCAAATGTAACATGTGTTACATTTGACCACTTACTAAAATGGCATTGTGTATTTCATATAATATGTGTAGTAGAGTTTTATTGAGATCTCTCTGGAGGTAAAAAATGATAGTGTGAGGAACTTCTGTGAGAGAGGGTTGAAAATGTAGAAGTCATTTATGCTCATCTTAATATTGTGGTTTGTGGGTAGATATGTCACATTTGGGTTACTTGGATTGTAATGTATGACTCTGTCATGATTTGTCTATTATGTGTATGAAAAGCTGGTTAAGACTGAGTAGTCATGGCGTTTTTTCACTAATGTTAGCAATACTCCACCCATATCATGGCATAGGACACCAAAAATGGGTTCCACACCAAAAAACAGCAATGTTGTGGGAGAATTAAGATATTTTGGGCGAAAACGGCAGTCCTCGAGTTTCATGTATTACATGTACAAAATCAATCTAAACCTGGACCCAGAATTTTGACACTTTATTTGCCTCTAAAATATGTATTTATGGTCCGATTCTCAAAAGGAAAAGTGATCTGAAATCAGTAGAATGCCAGCTATCAGACAATGTTATTTATAATCAGTTATCTGTAATATGAAAAAATCATGTGGTATAGCTACACACATTGTACCCATATGTGGAATCGAACCTAAGTCTTGGAGTGATGAGCGAACACTTTAACCACTAGACTACAGAAGGGGGGTGCAGGGGTGCGCACCCCGCTTTTGTGCTGAAAGTTTGTTAAATGACCATTGAAACTCGGGTAAAAATGAAGTGTGCACCCGTCCTTTTCTTAATAGTGTGCACCCCCCATTCTCAAAAAGCTGTATCCGCCCCTGGACTACCCTACTGCTGTAGCTGGTTCAGACGTTATATCAAACCTCCGGGAAGATGGAGGGTGATAGTATAAGAAACCACCACAAATAAGTGTTCTTATTGGAAGAAGTTTATCCTGAATCATCTTTTCATTCTGTTATCCAATTTGAAGGAAATGAACATGTTATTGAAATCATTACCTGAATTTAAGTCGGTCAATAGTTTCATACCTTTTTTATGATCCTGTCAGTTTCGTGGTCAATTAATTTGACACTTTCATGCCATCAATATCATGTAACAGATACAAATGAATGATTTTCGAGTGTGAATAATGGAACTCGGCAAGATGTTAGGCAACCAGCAAACATGATAAAACTGAAGTGTGGCGACATGTACATTTGATCTGTTTTTGAATTCTTGATGTGTCTTTATGTCATTTTACCATTAGGCCTTAAAAAAAATAAATGTTCTGGCTCCAAGTACCCGACTGGCTCTTGAATTCTGGTGCCGACCCTATTTTTCTTAAGCGGTATGAATAAAATAAGTGTTCAGATACCATTGTTTTTTCCCCCTGGCACCGGCAGACCGGCCATTCAGATAGAGATAGACGACATGATGGCGACAAGCTTGATTTAATAAAGAATTACGCATTGATAAATGTGTTATTAGTTTGTACTTTACTTCTAAAAAATATTATAAATTTTATTTTTGCCTACCTTAAATTTTAAAGAGATATAATCAGAACCACAACATATTTTTTATTTGGCCTTAGTGTGAAGACGACGATGAAATAAATAAATAAATTGCCCCCCTTTCTTTTCCTCAAGTCAATGGTACATTTTCAGTTTGTGAACCCCCAGTTGTATTTTGCAAGTCATACTAGCTTGTTTAACATGCTTGTTTGAATATATTGACATTTGTATTGTAGCTCCAGTTTAAAGGTATTACTTAATATTAATTGTGCTTGAAAAACATTGTTTCTAAAATATATTATGCTATTTCATTTTCAACTTTTTAGAACTTTTGCTTTTTATGATGATTGTTTTGTGAATCTCAACGAGGAATACATTTAATGTATGTAAACTCGACACATTTGATACACCTGTTTGTAGTCTGTTACTGAAGCTAGTCCAGAGACTCAATTTCTGTTCAGTCTTGTAACCTCGGCCAACAAAAATCCAAACATTAACGCTAAATTCATCAGAAGGTGATGGTTGTTTCCAAAGTATTTGGCACACACTGTGTATGCCCACTAGGAATTGTTTCATGTGTTTCATATACAGCTTATTAGATTTGTTAGGTTGTTTTAGTGAGTATCAGGCTAAATTTAGTTAACATAGAGATTTTTCTGGGTTACATCTTCTTTTTATTCTTTATTTATCCATGATGGGCAGAGTTAACAGTTACTGTTCAGTTTTACCTGATGATGGGGCCAGAACAAGCCCTGAAACGTTGTACTCAAGAATAAAAAGAACATGTAACCCAGAAAAATCTCTATGTTCATCAAATATCATCTTCTAAAATGCCAATCAAGCATCTAAATTTAGTTTGTAAAGAAAT